AGGACTTACTTTCAAGTTTAAGGATAAAAGGGAGAAGATTGACTCCATTTTCAAAGCTCAAGACTTTTTGAAGAGACACGCCAGCTCAGAGGAGGCAGCACTCGCCAAATGGGAAGAATTGGACAGTGACAGAGACAGCGGCTCGGAGGGGGAAGTCAAGACTCCGGAAGATGAAGGAGCAGGGAAAGGTTCATCATATAATCTGAGAGACGTGAAAGGGAGGCAGCCCAAATCATGAAGAATGGTTCGGAATGCGCAAGAAAAGACTTTACTAACAATAAGCCAAAAGGACACTACTAATACATTAACAGTTATTGTTTTTTACAGCTTAAGATGAAAGACGATAGACAACTCACAGAAGAAGCCAAAAGAAGATTTGTTTAATACTAACAAAAGATTAACATACTAATGAAAGCATCACCCAACCTTTCTTTAATCCCACTATATACCCTTCATCTTTCTGATATTAAAAGTATAAACTCTCTACTTTTCAGGAGAGTCAATTAAAAAAAAATTCCCGGGTGCATGTGTGTGTAGGCTATTGGGGGAGGCTCCTATAGTTGAGGTATATACATGTGTAGGCAATTTGGGTAACAGAAAGGGAGAAAGAATGGGAGGAGACTGGACCTCAATAACCATAATCAGCATAAGTTACTGTGGTGAGATGAGGGGTGAGGGAGGGTACAAGAGATGCCTTGACAGATATGGTGATAGAAAGCAGTCCAGGAGTCTTTGTGGCTAAAAAGAATGAGGAAAATGATCTCTGCTGGATACAGAGCATCCTTTCCAACTGGGAGGGATAACACAGTAGCACCTCTTGAATGGGTGGTTATCACCTCTTGAATGGGTGGTGTAGGTTTGGCGGGCTGGAGCCCCAAGGCTTAGGACAGAGATTGGCTGAAGACTCCAGGGCACACGTGGGATGGGATCTAAAAAGGGGAGCTCTTCCTTTGTTTGGGGCTCCTTCTTGGTTTGAGCTCTTGGGGTGATTCTTTGTTGGGAACTCTTGGAGTGTGTGTTTTGCCATGAAGGATGGCAGAGGGGACTTGCAGATGCACCAGGTTGGGGACATCCTGCAACAACCCAAATCAAAAGTAATATGGATTGTAAGCCCTTTAGTTAGAACCTGTTTTTAAAATTTCCCATAGTGTGCCTTGATCCTGTCCTTTGTAATACCCTGAGTCTGTGCCTTGTAGAAATAAAATTTTTGTTAAACTTGAGAGAGTCTGCACAAGTCCTTACCCACCTGCCTGACTTCTTGGAATGTTACTGAACAATTGCCCCTGCAAGGCTGACTTTGGGCAAGCACATGGGGGGCAGGATTTTACCCGAAGTGGTGGCAGCAACAGTAAAGGGGGGCAAAACAGTGGCTACTCTTGCCCCACAATGTGAGAGACCATGACAGGTACTTTAGATTGCTAGGAAACATATCCAGCTATGGTTTGTTTGATTTCCTTTTTGCCTTTGTATGTTTTTCTGAGTCCTTTTAACTCCTCAGTTTGATTTGTACTTATTCCATCCCCACCATCCTTCCTAGCTTTTACATCCAGATAAACTCCTTTCATTTTCTATCTCAGGTTTCTTCTTTCATTCTTCTCTTGTGATAACTCAAATGGGCTGCTGTCCAAGGTCCTGGCCGATCTAGAGGTATTGTTGCAGACAACTTTTCCGTAGTAGTAAAACAATAACAACAACACTTTTTCCTGGTTTGGGGGGTTGCCAGTACCTTCCTCAAAACCTTACATGAATCTTCAGTTATCACAAAGGATACTAAAATATTTCCTCCTATGACTCTTTGATGATTTTAAATTGCACGGCTGAAGCTGCTTGAACTGACTCCCCCCCCATGCAGATCTAGTTACATCTTCAGAGAGATTGCTAATTATCTTTTTTTTAAAAGCAGAAAATCCTTATCACACACCTTTTGGGTTTAATCTTGTTTGCCCCTCAGTAAGGCGGCTTTACTTCAATCAAGCTCTTGTTGACAAATCAGTGATCACCCATTGCTGCTGGAAATTTTCACCATGAGCTCTCCCTAATCCTGCCCAGCCATAGATATTAAAACATGGATCACTAATTCCTTCTGCTTGGACCTGTAGGCCAGATCAGTTTTCTTTAAGCATTGTTGTCTGTCTCATGAGGCAGTAGCTTTGCTTGAGCAACTTAAAAACCTTTTTTTTTTCAGAGCTCACCTTAAAAAACACCTATCTTTGTACTGGATGCTTTAAGGGCATTTTCAAATGGCTCCCACTGCTCTTAAGATGCCTATCTTTACTCTGATGAAGTAGTCGAGCAATTACCCGGAAACATGACCTGATCCTGATCTACTATACTATGAACTGGTTGAAAAAAGTGATCAGTTTTCCACCACTACTATCTAAAATTTAGTATCTGGAGTCAGCACTATTACCAGTGATTAACCAAGGAGTCTATAGTTGGTGCAGGCAGGATGCCTGGGGCAAATTTCGTGGATGGAGAATGTATACAGGTCTGGGGTTGTTTAAATTAATCAAACCATTGACAGCAAGGTGTAAAAAATGAACAGCAATTTTAAAATACATGTTATCAAGGGTTCTGCAGATGTAGCTACCAAGACTTACTTTTGATCCCTGAAAGTAATCTCTCATTCTAGGCTTTGCAGGGTCAGCATTGTAAAAGTTTTCTGTGAGTGGAACAGCAATTCCCAGTCTAGATGGTGGCCTGTAGTTCACCTGTTTGGTAAGACAACAGATAGAAATTCAGTACCGTCTCACCTTTTGCTCATCACTAGTCTTGCTGATTTCAGAGATACTTGAAATACATCTGAACGTGTGTCATAGATGTAAAAAATTGTATATGACATTCTAGTGATTGAACAGATTTTACATATTGCATAATTGGAATGGTGCAATGGAGATTCTAGATTTCAACTAGTACTCTACTATTCTGTCTTAAATTTATTAGATTTTCAATAACATAACACATAATACATAACACAACACCTATAATACAATGTTTTATACTCTCAACTACAGGAAGAAAGGCATTATAACAACTCATAAAACACATAAGGAAACACTTTCTCTCTTACCCTATTATTCCAAAATATTATAAACAGTGTCCAATGCTCAATAAATGTACATGAAAATTGATTTTTTTAATCTGAGCCCTTTGACGACATGTTAATCTAGCAAATAAGGCAGCATTCCACACACGATAGAATAAATTTGTTTTAACTCCCTGGGGCCTGCACTGCCAGAGCTAAACTAACAGCCCAAGACTCCTGAAAAGCAACTTCTGCTTATTGCTAAATGAATCACATAGATTCCCTTTAGACAGCTGTGCTGCTTTTCTGCAACATTCACAACTGTAGTGCGAGATACATTGTTCTTAACAGGCTTCAACTAAATATGTTTTAAACATCTTTCAGGTCAAAAGCTGTGGGTCCTGCAAAAGCAAAAGCTGAAAATATATGTACGGTGTAAATAATGGAATAAGCGGACTGTTTGCTTTTGACTTCTTGCCAAAGGAGCAGAGAAGAAAACTTCACAATAAGCAAAACGCAACACCAATAGTTTAAGAAATGTGGCTCCAGGAGTAATTTCCATGTTATCTCATTTAACCATATAATCTGTGCAATTTATAAGCACCTGACTTGTCCAGCTGTGGACAACCACTGAATGAATGAGAGAATGAATGAATGAGTGTGTGTTGGCCAGGAAAAGACCAAAAACCATAGAAGTAAAGAGACTACCAGCAGGAAGATCCCCAGATGATCTCTACCCTGGTGACTGAAAAGAGCCATCATCAGCTCCTTACCAGAGAAATAGGCCATGAATAAAGGTGCATGTCAGCAAAGTTCTGGTACACCCATGGGTCAAGATCACGCTGTAGAATCACAGGACCTGAACTGGTGGGTGCCAAAATGACCATGCATGGCAAGACCCCCTGATGGACTGGCAAAGGCAGGGAGAAAGAAGAATAGACTACAAGCAGGGCTATTTTGGGGCAGGAACGCACAGGAACGGAGTTCTGGCTGGCTCCCAAGTTGGCCACGCCCAGCAGGAACTCATTAGCATAATAGCCCGCACCCAACAGCAGAAACTCATTAGGATTGGCTACATTAGGGGTGTGTGGCCTAACATGCAAAGGAGTTCTTGCTACAAAAAAAGTCCTGGATTTTGACAACAAACAAGGTAAACAGAATAACAAGCAAAAGGTGGGTGTGGCTGGATAACCACACTTCTGGTAACATGGGGGTGCGGCCTACTGTGCTAATAAGCTGTGCTGGCAGGGGCGTGGCCTAATATGCTAATGGGTTTCTGGTGTTGGATGTGGCCTATTATGCTAATGAGTTCCTGCTGGGCTTTTTCTACAAAAAGAGCCCTGACTATAAGAGCTAAGAACAAATGATGTGGAACAAGGACCTGTGGGGCAGCAATCCTCCCTTGAAGCTCTCTCCTGACTAATCAGCACCAAAGCCATTTTATTTAGAGATGTCCCTTAAAAATCTCTCCTGATGATTCAGCATCAAAATGCCTGGCCATATTTTGTGCATACATGTGAAATGTGGGCAAGTATGTGGGGTGCACGTTTGTGAGTGCATGCTTAATGCTGGGCATATTCTGTAGTCAGTAAAGCTGCTGCGGTATTTTTGAAGCAGACCAGAGTCCCATCTCTTTCCTAGTACCCAGCGCAGATTAGTGAGCAGATGGGCAGAGCCTGATCACCTCTCTCCTGTGGCCCAGCTGTCCTTAGAATTTACTTCTGTCAGAAGGCCTTCTCCTGCCACTGCTACACAGGTCTTTTCTTCTGTCTGTGACACAGTAGCATCAACTGAACGTTCAGCTTCATTCTCAAACGAGGTTAACGGTCATGAGGAAAAGGGCCTTTTCAGTGATAACCCTAAATAATGGAACTTCCTCCCTCTACTTTAGGAAAGGGGTTCAAATGTTCCTGTTCAGTAGGGTTTTTGAGGGCTCAGGACTTTAAACTGCTGTGCTTCATTTAAAAAAGCTTGTAACATTTATGAATGATGTGTTGCTCTTATTTTTTAATAGGTTTAGTTATGTTCGAGGATTTTTGTGATATTATGGATATTATGGACATAGGTATCCCCTATGAGTGTCTTTAAAGGCAGCACAGCAGTATATAACTATGCTAATTAAAAAAGAGCCAGACGGAAGCCAAGAGGTTCAACTGATGCCCCCCAGCGCCGTTCTTTCTCTCGGGCCACATTAAAGTTAGGCTCATCCTGAAGTCCTTGTGAACATCTCTTTGGAACCATCTATCCTGTAGCCTTGCAACACACTAGGACATGCCTTGCCCTGACCCACCCCAAAATCTTAGAGAAGACCAGGAAAGAGATTTAAATAAAACAACTGAAAAAGCAGACAGGTAGGGCTTTGGATACTTACCGGTAAAACTTTTAAAAGTTTTGAGGCATTGGGCAGATGGGATAGCCAGACTGAAGCAGGGAGTTGAACAGGCAGAGTATAGTGCATTACTTTAAGATATGAGCAGGAGTTCTTCAGTGTTAATATAAGGGTTGTGACATCGCAAACAAGGGATGCTTGTGTGACAATCACGGAAATGGATGTTTTACCCTAGAGATGTTTATTTAAAAAAACCAAAAAAACAGAAAAATAATATTTCTCCAGCATAATACAAGATTATTTATTTATTCAGTTCATTCATCTGTTCCCAGCCTTCCTCCCCAGTGGGGACCCAAAATGGCTGATATCGTTCTCCTCACCTCCATTTTATCCTCACAACAACTCTGTGGGGTAGGTTAAGCGGAAGAGAGTGTGACTGGCCCAAGGTTACCCAGTGAGCTTCCATGGCATGAGTGGGCATTCAAAACTGGAATGATTGATTTCCTACCATAAGATTATTTCATGAACACGTGACAGTTAAAACAATGCTTTTTTTGGACTGCCTGCAGAGTACGTTTTGGGAAGGGTCCCAGGTGCCGTCTTTAACTGGAATGATTCAGGAATTCTCATTTGATAAATGCCTTTCCCATTCGGATATTTTAATGGTTATTAATCCAACAAACAGAAATAAAAATACAGCATGTCAATAGTCCCAATCCAGTTAGAATTAGTTGCAATTCATCTCTACTGGGAACAACACGACAAGGTAGTTGTGACTAATTTAACACCCCATTGCTTTCAAGAGGTTTTACACTACAATGCCAACTCAATGAGAGTTAGTCTCAAGTAGCACACTGTAGACAGTATAGATTTACTGGGGAGAACAGCCTGGTATGACTCGGGATGCAGTTAAACCCCTATGTGTTTTAGAGACATCCTGAGCAATGCTGTTAGTCTGTTACCTGCTCAAAAAATCTGCTCTGAACATGTAGTTGTATTGTATAACTGTCAGTGTCGTCCCAGTAGTCTTCTGTGTCTACATCCAGTAGATTGGGCTTTCCCACTATTACCTCCATTAGGGGCATCTGAAATACTGGATAAGCTGTAGAAGGGAGAAAAACACCAAAGGTAATACTAAAAATTCCCTTCTGTAGGAAACCCAAGAAGAAAAAAACAGACGACAAAGAAGAAAATGTTTGAAAAACAAAGACGACAAAGAAGAAAATGTCTGAAATACTGGATAAGCTGTAGAAGGGAGAAAAACACCAAAGGTAATACTAAAAATTCCCTTCTGTAGGAAACCCAAGAAGAAAAAAACAAAGACAACAAAGAATAAAATGTTTCAAGATCGCTCTCTGAGATTCCAGTTAGAACAACAGTTCTTGGATGTTTTGGCACACAAACAGATTGTAACTATCTGACACCCTTCTATAATCACTTCATCTGGGATGTGCTTCTCCCATTGCAAAATTTCCTACTGCTTGTCCCCAGTTACAAATGATCAGACAAAAAAGAAGACCAAAACCAATGCACAACACTCCCATGCATGTTTGCCAAAAGGTTAGTGTCAGCAAGCTGCCAAAGAACTCTGTGTGATGCATAACACCATCCCGGTTTAGGGTTTCCCTCCCCCCCTCCTTAGCGCTCCTTACTGATACCCAACTGCGCATGCTTACTGGTATAATGAATTGCACATTTGCTTGTCTTATGCATTCCTTTCTATGAACGCTAGTTCTGCTTTGAAACGTGCTTATCTGCAAGGTCACAGGTGCAGAGAGGAGATGGCTTCGCGTAATCTATAATGAGCTAGAGTGTGAGAAGAATTAATTGTTTATCTTTTAGGAAACAGTTGCTTCTTAGACTAAACGCGCGAATCTGAGAATCTACCCGCGTGAGCGGGAACCATGTCCATTGGTTATTGTCGGTTTGAATTTGCTTTACTATCCCCTGCTTGACCCTTCCAAGTTATTCTAAACAGTGAACGTGTTCCTGTTCCATCATGGCTTCAATAAAATACTACTTTGCTACAAACGTGTATTAATTGCAAGTTGTGGGGATCAGACAGTTAGTCATAAGAACATTAAGAAGAGCCTGCTGGATGTGACCGGTGGCCCATATAGTCCAGCATCCTGTTTCACACGGTGACTAACAAGTTGCCCTGGAGGACAAAAAAGGCTTAAATACTGAGGCTATCCCCTGCTGCTATCTCCCAGCACTGGTAATTCAGAGGTTTGCTGCCTCTGTATATGGAAGCTTCCTTCAGTTGCCATGCCTAGCAGCCACTGAGAGACTTCTCCCCCATGAATCTGTCTTACCCCCCTTAAAGCTATCTATGCTCATGGCCATCACTTCCTCCCCTGTTGGCCGTCCAGAGGAGCTGGTTGGCCACTGTGTGAGACAGGATGCTGGATCCAGCAGGGCTCTTCTTATACTCTTAAGTATCTTCTTTTGTCTATTTCCCAACAATTTCATTGGGTTCCTCACAGTTCTAGTATTATGGGGGGAGGAAGAAAAAGCTCCCTCTTTCCATTTTCTCCACACCGTGCATAATTTTACAAACTTCTATCATATCTAGCTGTCCTTTTGCTAGACTGAAAACTCCTAGACCTCCAGTCTTTCTTCATAGGGAAGGTGCTCCCACCCTCTAATCATCACAGTTGCCCTTCTTTGTACTTCTTCCAGTTCTGCGGCAGGCCTGTAGCCACAGTGGGACATTTTGGGGCCCTGACCCTTTAATTAAAAGCCCCGTCCCACAAGTAGCCATGCCAGAAACCTTAATTTTTTACCATAACCTAGGCGGTACTGGGCTAGCAAAAAGGGGGATTGTTGGAGTTGTATTGAAGGTGCCCTTCTACGCTTTCCTGCCCTGTGGAAGGGAACTCAAAAGGCATTTAAATGCCTACTGAAGGCAATTAAAGGCCCTCTGAGCTGTTTTCCCCCTAGGAATTGACACGCTTGTTGCCCTGTCCCTTGAAAGGAAGGGCTAAAAACAGGCTCAGAGCCTCCCCCCTTTAAAGACAGGCATTCAAATTAATTTAATTAACTGTAACTGCCCCCTTAAACATTTAAATGCCCCCCCCGAACTAAAAATCCTGGCTATGGTCCTGTTCTGCAGTGTCCTTTCTGAGATGCGGTAAACAGAACTGCACACAGTATTCCAAATAAGGCTGCAACATACTTTAGACAAGGGCATTTCAATATTAGCCATTATATTTTCAATCCCTCTCCTAATGATTCCTAGCGTGGAGTTTGCATTTTTCACCACTGCTGCACAGTGGATCAACGTTTTCATTGAGCTTTCCGCAATCTTTGCTCTAGGCTCTCACCAGACAACCAGTGACAGTTTCAATTGTCCCAACTTAATCTCTCACTCTGGCAGGCAAACTACGATCCCTTAAAACAGTTAAAAAGTTACCTTTCAGACACCAGGACCTCAAAAATAACTTCCCAATACACCCTCTAATAGGTCCAAGCCCCCACCTCTGCTGCTATATAAACATTATTCTCCTTGTCCAAAGAATTATCTTTGGACCTATAGCCCTCTAGAAATTTTTTTGGACAGAGTGAGTTTTTGATAGAAATAACTGATGATAATGAAGAAGAAGAGATTGGATTTATACCTCACCCTTCACTACCCAAAGGAGTCTCAGAGCGGCTTACAAACTCCTTTCCCTTCCCCTCCCCACAATAGACACCCTGTGAGGTGGGTGGGGCTGAGAGAGCTCTTCACAGAGACTGCTCTTTTTCAAGAACAGCTCCTATCAGAACTACGGCTTGTCCAAGGTCATCCAGCCAGGTGCAAGTGGAAGAGTGGGGAATCAAACCCGGTTTTCCCAGATTAGAGTCCGCTCACTTAACCACTACACCAAACTGGCTCTCACTTTTTGATCAGCCCATTAGCTACTGTAGTGAAGCAGCACATAGCCTGTCTAAGCTTTGTGAAGAAGACAGATTTGAATGGTATTTGGGTATCAATTCAGTGCAGTAATGAACTTCCCAGAGGCGTCCAGCTGGGGCTCTATATGGGACATACTCTAATCCTGGCCTCAGTACTCTATCCAAGGAACTATGTGTAAGGGAAGAAATCTGAAGTCTATTCTTTGCCATATAGCCTTACTGGGAGTGTGGCTATGGGGTGGCCTGACCATTACAGCACACAAAGGGTAGATTTTGTTTGTCTTTCAATTATATTTAGAAAGAAGCTGCTCTTTGGAAGTTCTCATTTAAATGACCCATCCATCTGTCTTTTCTCATATCTTATGCTATATAGGCTGTTTTGAGAGAGAAAAAATCAGTATAAGTAAATACAAGATCCCAGATGCCTTACCTACATTAACTGGTGATACTCTGAATGAAAAATGCAGTTTCGACCCAAGATCCAAGTATTTAATGGCATGGACTGGTAGATCATCAAGTTGCTGTATTGTGTATCTACATCTGTCAACAACAACCCTCCATTTTCTTCCATTTGTAGTGCCAAAGTCATACAGGAACCACTGTTTGCTTTGAAACTCAATATTTACAGGTACTCGTTGAGGCATGGTAGCATCAGTTAAAGCAGTCAGGTTATCCGTAACAGAAATAATGAGGAAACTGCTGAATCCTGGAATCACAACCGTTTTCTCAACGTCGGATGCTTGAAATATGTGAGAATCTACAAAACAACAAAGTTCATATTTTAACATAAACTGAGATCGATATGAATATGTATTTTTCCTATTTCCAAAACATAAATTGTCTGAGGCCATATCCTTCATGGGCAACAAGACAGAATGTTAGGATACTCTTGACTTAAGGACTTGCTTGTTGCAGAGGTGGGGTTGGACCACCCCTGTGGAGTCACTTCCTTGTTTTGCCCATTTTAGTTTGCCATTAGCAGTCAAAGCAAAATCAATGAGGCCTGCTGCTGAGACATGCAGAATTCATAGTTATTATCATTGATAAGTGCCTATTGACTGGACTGAGCCAAGCCTGACTGGGCTTGGAGCACACAGAGATAATCAAGACTGTGGAGGTGAACAAGTTTGTTATGGACCATGTGGTTCATGGACCAGAGCTGAAAAGAACTCCAGCTAGTGCCGGATGCTGGTGGAAAAGGTGTTTGGCCATCAGAAGCAGTGCTCAAGAGTCACTTAAGTGCCTCTTAAGTAGTTTTGGATGTGCTCATTGTGTACTATGGCCAGCACCTTTGTGAGTAAGAGGTGTCTTGCATCTTGAAGATCACCCTGAATCTCTCTTGCCTTCTGATCTGCCAATCAGTGAGGACCCTCTGGAGATGCAGGTTCCAAGCAGAAACCTCATACTGAGAAGCCATTAATCTGTCCTCTGAGGCAGTCAAAGCTGTTTGCAAAGCCATTAGGCAATGTGTCTGGGACCATTTATCCTTGCGTCTCTAGAGGCCCTTGAAAGGTCATACTTGCCTTAAAACCGCCCTACCCCAGCGTTCACAGCTATTACTGCTTGTTACTTACTTTCTCTGTTCAGTAATTCAGAGAATCATGGAATTCATCTGTGTGTTTACTGGGTAACTGGAAACAGATGGGAGTGAGCAGGCTGCTGCAGGGGCTTTGTTAGGGTTTGGGACTTCATGGAGGCAGAACGTGTCTGGTCATATGAATAAAGGGGGGGATATAGCAGTGAAAGGAAATTTAGGAATATGTTTAGTGGAATTGGGGGGTTGCACTAAAAACAGAAGCTGGAAGCTTTCCCCTCCTTTCCCACCCACCCTTT